CAGACAAATCCGTCTGAAAAAATCGATCTGCTGACACACGAAGCTTTCAGAGGATTTTTGACGTTTTTGAGTCCCATTAGGTGCCCTTTATGGCTGACCAACTTTTCCAAACTTTTCCACTTGTCTTAAGCCCACTTTTTGCCACTTTACCACTTTTTACCACCTTTCTTGTTTGTCGAATATCTTTAGTTGTGAACATCGTAAAAGGTTGCGGATCAATCGAGTGTGTTCATATTATCAGGAAGAAAAACTTTTGTTCAAACAATTTTTACGTCAGATAATAAGTTAATTGGATAATTATCAATTAACTAATTAGCAAAATTCTAAAAATTTTTTATTGGCTCAAAATGATCGGAATAGCTTGAAACACGGAGAAAAGTATTTTTTAGAAAAACTTTGAAAATTTTTCACTTACATTTTTTTTTTCGAGACTTAGAAAAAATTTCGAAAATTCAAAATATTTTTTCCGCCAAAAGTGATCAAACCGCATGAAACACGGAGAAAAATGCCTTTCAAAAAAACTTAATACTTAAATCGCCAATATTCGTAGTTGGAGTTCAGTCAATCTCGGCAGATTTTAGTAAACAGGAATTACTAAGTGAAGAGGTCTGAAACTGAAAAACGTTAACCATACGATCGCGCGGCGATATAAGAGTTTCATAAACTAATTTTCACAGAAACTGCACCAATGGCACAGTCAAGATCGAAACGATAGCCTGCTGTACTGTCATTTTATTGATTTCAATGATGAATCAGTGGGGTTAAGATAATCACATTTGTAATAAATAAACATCTCTGTACCGTCAATTGTGCTAGTCTAAACCAGCCTACCTGTATTACCAGACCTCTTCTTTTCCTCGACAATCAAACCAAGTTGTTCATATCGCATTTGGTGGGTGATGTAAGTAGTAATACATATCGAGCTGTATTCAATCACAATACGACACAATGCAATACGTGTATATTATATTATGGCCCTTAATGAGGTATATGAAACGTTCTATACCGTACACTTCTCGTTACTCCAGTGAGAGGCCCAGTATGGAGAGGTTTAACAGTTAACTGTTAAACCTCTCCATAAATTTAGCACGAAAACGTCTACTTGGCCTCATGGCTCTTTGACAGCTCAAAGAAGGCGAGAAAAGACCAGAAAGCTTAAATTTTCAACTCCACATTAATCCTGAGCTGATCATCATGGCCCCGAATATCCTACGGGAAGAACCTGTATTTTTACCTCACGACGTCCGGATTTCAAATCAACACCCTCAATAACATTAACAATCCTTCCTGATCAGGATCTGTCTCTATTAGCAATTTCCAAAATATCCTGACTCTCGTGGAACATTTCACTGAATTAATTATTACTGGTTTTTTATTACCCCTTGCCCGTCATTCGTATCTACATCTTACCCTTGCCAGTATGTAACCCTTGCTGATTTTACGTTTAGCCGACCCTGACATATGGGGGTGATTTGAGGTATCCCGCAAATGAAGCGGTATGCAGAACAATACAAAACAAGTCACAGTTGATGTTGGAAGGTGTATTTACACTTGCTTCCTGGACCTGGCTGTTCCTTAGTTTCCCTGATCTGTTCTTGCCTTCTTCGAACTGTAAATGAGCCATGAGGCCAAGTATACGTTTTCGTGATAAACTTTAAAACGTCTCTATACCGGGTTTCTCACGGTATAAAGCGTTACATAAACCTCATTAGTCATTAAGAGCCATATAATATACACGTATTGTGTCGTAGTCTGATTGAATACAGCTCGATATGTATTAGTTTCAATACTTTCAACACTATACTATATAACAAATAATTTTAATGACTGGATGGATTACTGAGGGCACTGTGTTAAGGTGATTTAAGTGGGTCCCAATTCCCACCGACCATTCTTTTTTGTGTTATGAATACTTGCTTCATCATCTCCTTTTAATAAAAATCACGGTGTCTTTAAGTCTTTATTGACTAAGCGCATTACTACTTACATCACCCACCAAATGCGATATGAACAACTTGGTTTGATTGTCGAGGAAAAGAAGAGGTCTGGTAATACAGGTAGGCTGGTTTAGATTAGCACAATTGACGGTACAGAGATGTTTATTTATTACAAATGTGATTATCTTAACCCCACTGATTCATCATTGAAATCAATAAAATGACAGTACAGCAGGCTATCGTTTCGATCTTGACTGTGCCATTGGTGCAGTTTCTGTGAAAATTAGTTTATGAAACTCTTATATCGCCGCGCGATCGTATGGTTAACGTTTTTCAGTTTCAGACCTCTTCACTTAGTAATTCCTGTTTACTAAAATCTGCCGAGATTTACTGAACTCCAACTACAAATATTGGCGATTTAAGTATTAAGTTTTTTTGAAAGGCATTTTTCTCCGTGTTTCATGCGGTTTGATCACTTTTGGCGGAAAAAATATTTTGAATTTTCGAAATTTTTTCTAAGTCTCGAAAAAAAAATGTAAGTGAAAAATTTTCAAAGTTTTTCTAAAAAATACTTTTCTCCGTGTTTCAAGCTATTCCGATCATTTTGAGCCAATAAAAAATTTTTAGAATTTTGCTAATTAGTTAATTGATAATTATCCAATTAACTTATTATCTGACGTAAAAATTGTTTGAACAAAAGTTTTTCTTCCTGATAATATGAACACACTCGATTGATCCGCAACCTTTTACGATGTTCACAACTAAAGATATTCGACAAACAAGAAAGGTGGTAAAAAGTGGTAAAGTGGCAAAAAGTGGCCTTAAGACAAGTGGAAAAGTTTGGAAAAGTTGGTCAGCCATAAAGGGCACCTAATGCATGGGACTCAAAAACGTCAAAAATCCTCTGAAAGCTTCGTGTGTCAGCAGATCGATTTTTTCAGACGGATTTGTCTGTACTACAAACCGAATTTAGTTGGGAGAGATTGGCCTTGATTAAGAAGTCTAAAAACGACAAAATAGGAATAAATTCGTTGATAACTCAAATTATGACCATCGAAATTGCTCAAAATAATTTAGGTTCAGTAGAACACAAGTGTTTACGTAAGCTGACCAAATTTCAAAAAAATTGTTATATGGAAAGTATTTTAAGTTTTTGATTGTTTCCGAAATAATGTGCTGGCCGAAATTGGAAATACGAGCTAAAAAACCATTCAATGGTCAGCGCGCGCGTCTTACGGTCGATCGATGGCGCACAGCCTACTAAAATGTCATTTCTATATGTGTGATAATTCAAAATGTACAGGAGGCCTGATTTATCTTTTGTCACTAGTACTATTTGTTTTGCATTTTGTCTTATTAAAACATTAAGCTACTTGAAAACATTCACTCACTAAAGGAAGTACCTCAAAACCTTGTAGGTTTACAACAGCTACCAGGACGCGCGCCGAGTTGGACTCGTCAACGGTCAATATATAGAACAGATATTTTACAGATATTTTACGAGTATCACCCGTTAACCTAAAATGTCACGTGCACCACCCCTAAAACGTTTACCTGGGGACCTCAGGCTTTCATTTTCATTAACATATAGAGATTCTGCGGAATGACAAGATGAGCGCGGCCCAGTAATGCCTGTCATATAATGAATTAACAATACACATAACTGGCGTCGCGCGCGCAAAAACAAAAAAGACTCCTTTTATACCCATAATTATAGCATATAGGAGAGTTGTAGCGCGATGCACTACTGGGTCGCGCGCGCATCAAATAATGCTTCTCGCAACCACAGTGTCAGTAGATCGGCGAAATGCACCACTGTGCCTCACCGAGCTGCGAAGGATTGACATCGTGAATCAAATAGGAGAGTAGTCTATATTGCGAAGGAGCAGACTTTAGTTTGATTCATGATGTCAATCATTCGCCGATCTACAAAAGTTGCGAGTAGATGCGCGGTGCGGCCCAGTATCGCGCTACAAACTTTTGTTATCACCACAGGATCGACCGTTGGGCCACTTTATATATCCAAACCCGATTACTTATTTCCTACTATATGATCTTTTTGCTTTTGGCAAGAGTAGGGGAAAAAATTAGTCAAAACAGTGAAATTTTGGTGCTCGCGGAAAGCTTAACTTCGAATATGTCCTACTTGTAGGACTTACAGTTACTGGGCGGCGCTCAGCCTGTCATTCTGGATGATGATTAATTCATTTAACCACTCTACACTCGACTATCACGTGACTTTTTCAACCCGTTTTCTAGCTGTTCATACTGGGCCGCGTTCACATAGCCATGTGCCTACGCGTACTCCGGCGGTCGCGCGCTACTGCAAGCGAGAGGGCTCTGGTTAGAGCAATGGGCCGCGCTCAGCCTGTCATTCCGCCTAATCTCTATTTTATGTTTATGAACATGATAGCCTGAGGTCCCCAGGTAATAGCTGGTCCTGAACTTCACCTAACCATGTGCTTTCCTGTTACTTCGGGCGCTTGTTTCACAAGCCGTGAGGCGGGCGCGCGCTACTGCAAGCGCTCTGGATAGAGCAAGTCCTGAACGACTATTCGAAAGCCTAACCCTCTAATTTGATCCTAACCTTACCTGGGGACCTCAGGCTATCATGTTCATAAACATAGAGATTAGGCGGAATGACAGGCTGAGCGCCGCCCATTAAGGCCAGGGCCCAGGTTAGGGTAGGAATTAAAATTAATTATGCGATATGCATATATATATATATGTATGTAAAAGTAAAACTGTTTTGTTCGGCTGCAAACCATATAATATAAACCAAAGTCACGTTATAATTTTTGGGGCGAACGAAATAAAATGAGCCATCCGCTATATTGGATAGCATGTATAAACAGAGCTATTGTTTTTTAGATTAGAAGTGAGCTTCTATATTTACTTATCACTTGTGGTCTAACTGCGCGCGCATATTAACTCATGTATAATGATCAGTTCAAATTAGACTTTGCGCGGCGTTTTTGCAACCCTTCAATAGACTACGATCGACAGTAATTTCGGCATTGGATCAGTTATCGGCTGATTTGGCCAATCACACTACCGGAAAATATAGCTTAAAGTATATGGTCAGCATAAAACGATTGTATCTTGCACACCACCGCTATGTCAGGCCTCGGTCCGTACGATCGGTTTTGTATAATGAACTGCTGTCATCAATGGGGTTATGACAGTAAATTTAGACATCATTAAGACCAAACTATGTAAAGCCATCGACTCTGAAGGGAAAGTAAGTGATCCTTGATCATTATTAGCCGTTTTTGAAATTTTTCTTGCTCGCTTTTGCTTGTTTTCAGTTACATATTTCCAGGCTATGTCAACTGTTCGGTAACATTCCGGCCTTTTCAGGTTTTAGAAAACTCGACGGTTCTTGAGATAATCACCCAATTACACTCCTTGGACATAACAACCGAAGAATTAGAGGTAAAATGCAGTTTATAATCTACTTTACATTCTAATTCATTTTACACACTCATCTGCTTAACTCAAGAATTCTAGTTTTGAAAATAAATTTTTGCACCAGAAGTGGCACTTTGAATTTGTCCGGACATTGTTTTCAGCAGAACATGTTGACTGCTATTATCTTAATACATATACAAAGGCAGACTTAAGCCTTAATTCGCTAATCTCATTATCTATATCTTCAGAGAACCAGATTAGGAAAGTTCGTGAACCTAATAAGAAAGAATACCTCGGAACCGGACATCGCCAACAAGGCCCGTTCTCTTGTCAAGAAGTGGCAAAAAATTGTTATCGGCTCAAAGGTAGGAACTTTTGTACATTCCATAATCCATATACATTTGAACATTCCTCGTGTACTATAAAAGGGTGAGGTTAAATAGTTTACAGCTCGGTCGAACGAATATCTGGATCTGGTGTTATTCATGCTTTCATATAAGGTTACAATTTCCACGATAAAGACCAGCCTTTAGTTAGAGAAGCATTTACATTTAGATATTTAGTTGTACTTTAACTAAACTTTCATTTTCCTTTAAATGTGCCAACCCGAAATATTGTAAAAATATATGCATAGTTCTTTAACTGGAGGTGCACAATTTCAGCCGGAGATAGCGAATGGTTTCAAAAGAAACGTCAAGAAGCAAAGAACATCCAGAGAGAGTACACCTATCAGAGAGATGGGTCCCCGAGCTGAGACCCCAGTCTACTTACAGGACCACAGTTCAAGAGAATCTACACCCCAACTTGTTAGTCGATAATTAAGTTACTCAATACATCGGTCAACTTAGCATGAGCTCACTGAAGTTTCCTCGTCCTCATCACGTAACAAGTATTGGTTAATACCAGTATTGGTAATATTATACCCGCTCATCTACCAGTTTCATAACTTATAGTTATAATACCCGAATTTCTGAAATAACACGCACTTTTGTGTCAGGTAACCAATGGACACGCCCCTGCGGAGGCTCAATCAGATTCACAACACCTCGAATCAACTAGAGACGGTGTTCACTACAATGACACAACCTACTCTTGGACCCAAACTATTCCCATACAATCATCAGAATCGGATTCAGAGCCGCCCAGATTAGTTGTCCTACCCTACGTTTGTCTAGATTAGACCGGAAAGGCTGGATTACGCATGTTTGGAGATGCGGTGTTAAAATTTGAATTGCTTAACTTGCGTAACCCTTTTCAGGGGGTTGATTTTCATGCCGGAAATGTTTGTGACCGGAATCGGTTTCGTTAAATGTTTGTTGCTAGGAATATTTTCAAGGACTCTATTTTAAGTTATTTGTCTTATTTTTACAATCTTGTATATTATGAAGTTATTAAATTATGGATTGAGCACACCATATAAGGTGTTTCGTTGGAAGAGACTCAAGATGGTTTTTAATTGTTTTTTCTATTGCCAGAGTGTGCCCACTGTATCCAAATTTATTGAGTTTAAAACGTGATTCTTCAGAAAAAAATTCCTAACGCAACCCCTTGCTCGTTTCTTTGGCAATAAAGTGATGAAGTTATTAGATAAGGCTTCGCCCTGAAAACACTCCAATCTGTAAACCCCTTGCCCGTTTATCTGACAATAATCGATAAAGTAAATATAAGGCTTCGCTCTGAAAACGTTCCAATGCGCCCATCACCTAGGCCCGAAAGTAGAGCTGAGGAATAGCCACACACAAATCAGTGGGGTATGTTCAGAATTGGCAGTATTTAAAAGAATTGTTAAACTATTGTTAAACTAGTTGAAGAGCTGGACAAGCCCTGTAGAAATCCATGAAGATCAAGTAAGACGGCTTACTGAGCACATTGTCTTGTAATATACTATTTTGTAACATGATCCACTCTACACTAATTACTGTATTTTACTTGTACTTATTAATGCACTTCTATTCTGAAAACTTGTAAGGACCCCTGCATTCTGTGTAATGAGTTAATTGGAAGGTATCCCAAATCTGCGCCCTAGATTTTATCTGAACGTAGGAATTCTTGGTAAAATACCTTAAGAGATATTTAAATGGTACGAAAGTATGGTTTTTCGAAAAAAAAACACCATATTTTCGGACTACAAAAAAAGACATAAGAAAATCCCCAAATACCATGATTTAATTTGGGGTACGAAATTTGGCAGTTTTCGAGAAAAATTCCATATTTTCGTTCCCACATCATTTAGGTCACCAAAATTATGTCTAACATAAATATGTCCCGTAAGGTGTATAAGTACATACAAGGACACATCAATTTAATAGAAGTACGAAGACGAAGTTCCAGACTAGATTATTACTTTTATTCCTCAGTCCGAAAATTTGGAATGGACTCAGTGAGAGCATTGTCATGTGTAGAATGTTTTTTAAATGCCCTAAACTTAAAGACAGTTTATTCCCACCTAGCGTTTGATAATGTCTGTACTGATATGAAAGTGCATAATCTTGATACTTCCACGCCAAGTCCCGCTTGAGTGACTTAAAACATCTTTGTTCGGTATAATTTAATGTCGAAGCGTTTAACGAATTTTAGAATTTATTTTTTTTAGTATTATGAGGGTGGTGCGGAAGTCACGCCTAGATTTATTACAACTTATTAAAGCTGGAGTTCTGGTGAAAATAGTCATCGTGTTCGCCGTCTTAAAATTAGAAAGTACAACTTTATTTTAGCTAGAAATAGAGTATGGTATCAGGGATATTTATTTCAATTTTGACCGGAAAATAGTGCCTATTTATTCCTAAATTTTTGATCAAATGGAATTAGCACTTAGTATCGAGTACATGGGAATACATTAGCAAATGTACAGTGGAGTTCAGATCTAGAAATCTGTATTGGGCTCTATGCAAATCTATATTCTACATAAATCTGTGTTGAACTGAAGGTATGAATCCGGACATCTGTGTTGCAAAATGTACATAATATTTCATTATTGAAATGTAGGTGTAGAATGTAGACATCTGTGTTTAAAGTTAAAGTGTAAATTCCCAGGATCTATTCAGTGTAAACTGTAAAATGTAAATCACTAGATTTATGAGACAAAAAATAAAGAGCTCGAATCCCCATCCATCAGCTAGTGCTACACTTGACTGTACGTAATCTATTAAATTACTGCTCCTCTGATGTTATATCCTGGATTCCACGAATATTTTAACTTATCCAGGAACATGGATCCCGGGCAGAGTATGCTCTGTGTTGATGTCTGTATGTGTATATTTAGTTACTCTACAGATCAATGAGTAGCATGTGGGATATTATGGGGGTTATTTGCAAATACCACTAATTGCCGCTAATAGCCTACATACGCAGGCAACCGGGACCAGACGACACATTCTCCCCTCAAACTGTCATGCCAGTTCTGCTACATTATTACCGGGCGCCTACATTGTACGTTGTTATGGAGAGGCAAATTGGGAATGCTAAACAGTAAACTGTTGCTGAAATAAACGGTTTTGCAAGTTTGTGCAATGTGTAAGAGAGTTTGCCACTAAATCGGTCACACTTTTAAAATCGCATCTTTTAGTACTAGCACGAAAAGTGAGCGTGTATATAATATGTAATGTACTCATAATATGTTTTACAATGTATTAAGCCGCTACAGTGGTGAGTTGATGAGAGCGGAGGAAGGGACACACTGACACAATACGTACCACCACTATTAGGTACCACCACTATTACCAGTTACCACCACTATAAGATAAACTGTCTATACTTCCCACACTATCCTCACCTAGGTATTTACAAATATTTACATAGCGGTAAGCGGTAGTAGAGCTTTACCGGCAGTCACCAAATATAACCCCAATATAACAGATCACCCCATTCGTGAGAAGTGTCTGGTTTGACAAAACTCACGGAGAAGTATTGTATTACGCTGCTAGCATTGCAGGACCACACATATCATACACATTAGAAAAACAATTTTTGGGTGATATTTATTTCCTCCGCTAGTGTATATTGCTATATTGCATATTTCTATAAATTGTATAAATTACGTCAGACACCCTCCATTGGAGAGAAATGTGTGAACACATAGCTGAATTCTAAGAATCATAAATTCTGAGAATATTTGACTGTTAAATTTTATAATAAAAATACATACAAGATGTTTGAAACTAGAGCCTTTCGGTGCATCATTAAATATAGTTCCTATAAAAGAGCTAAAATGCAAGTAAATAATTAAAAACTTCAACATCACATACCCGTTACCCATGCATGAAAAATTAAACCTTAGTAGTTAAAATGTAATCATTATATTTAATCAGGTAATTGACTGAAATCGTGCCTTCTTTGAGGCAATTATAATACAATAATACATTGGCTGTTGAGTGCTACGGGCGATAATGCCCGACGCCTTGGCGGAGTGCGAGCACGAAACTAAGCCAAGGTATTATTAGCTATGATTTTTCCCGGTTTTTCATGATGAAGCAATACGTAATGTGAAACTGTTATTTGTTTTGAAACTTCCCGAAACTTGCAGGACATTATCGGTTGACGACTTTTCGGGGAAATTATTCCCGGAAAATATCATAAAATAATTATAAAATAATGTTGTAGAAACGGGGTGGTCCGGAATAATCGCAATATAATCATCTATGCTATGTAGGAAGAGGAATCTGTGTTGCGTTTATTCTGGACCACATTTTGTTATGAATGGATTAATATTTCTATGAACTATTAACTGTATTAAACTTAACTAATATTTGAGAGACAAAGCTATATCACATATAATTAGAAATATCAAAAACTAACTTTTCTCTACGGACCAAATTTGTGAGAAAATTTCACAACATTTTCGATTTAAAACTCTCTATAAAATCCTGAAAATGTAAAGCATGACCTTAAAAATTAAAACTAATAGCATTAACTAAAAACATAACGTATTAAAATAACAGAATACTAACATTTAAAGAGCACAATACAAACAATAAGCATACTACACGAAAAAAGGTTTATCCTGTATAAAATTAAGATAAAAGATTCAAGCTAGCTGTGAGTTGTGACCAACAAGTCACCAAGATTTGTATAAGGTAATGGATATGTCTTGCTGTAAAAATGTGGCTCACCATTACGCATTACCCATTACCCATTACCCATCACTCATTACCCATTACCTGTCTGCCACTTGTGTACCAGGCTTTAGTTACCTGATACCCATATAAACTATTACAAAAATGTACCATATTGAATGTTGAATATTGGACCAAACTATCATATTATTGCAATCTTGGTCACTTTTTTGTCACGCACAAAACTCATTTAAATATAAAAATCTTTAATATACTAAAAAAATACATTTAATTCCTACATTCCTACATTCCTAGACCGCGGTAGTTTCCATAGTTACCGCGGTAGTTTCATTAGTTACTGGCATTGAACTCTCCCTAGTTCCGTCCACCTCTATAGTATTGCTAGAAAGCAGTTTCATAGCCTCTTGGTACTGCTGGTGGACATGGTACTGAACTCTATCACCGGATACAGAGTCCTGAATGTGGATCAAACTAGTCAAGAAGATGAAGAGAGGCATGAAGTAAAAGGAAGCGTTAGATCCAGCGCCGATATGGAGGAAGGTATCCTCTGAGGGAACCTCGTTAACACGTTGGTTTATAGAGTAGGAGTTGATAACAATACACATAATGTTAATCAGGTAGATGATCCCCTCCCACTGCTTTATATTTCCTACTCTGCGAGGTTGGGGTCGCTGTGATCTGAGTAGCATCTTCATTTCGTAGTATGTAATGAACGTCTCCAGGATAAGAGCCATTAGGGCCACTATGGGGAGGTGGTAACTGAAGAGGGTGATGTAACCGTACATTAGCACCCTGTCTCCCATCCAGGTGGAGGTCTCAGCTGAACTAAGGAATGTTAGAGATTTGTAGTTATCTAGGATGTACCGCAGGTCACATGACCCCACAATGTTGGGAGACTTCTTACGTCTGATCCACAGGATGATACTTTTGAGGAGGGTGATAACAACGTAAGCCAGTCGGAGTTCCAACATTTGGAATGTGATCTCCGTGACTAGAGTTATCACGCAAATACCGTTAGGACATTCCTCAAGAGCATCCAGGTCAATGTTGAACCTTTCACTGATAACAAAGTTCAACTTTAACACGATATAAGCCAGATACCAATACGAGGACATGAGATAATACCCAGTGTGCTTGAAGATCACGCTGTTGTTGAAGTATGACTGGAATTTGTGGTTCTCCAACCTAGTGAGAAAGTCAGATAACCAAGGAATGAGATAGGATCCAGCACCGTGGTTGAGAATTGTGTAAAATATCGAACATATAAAAGATATGATGGATGTTTTGTTGATCAACCTTTTTGGATTGTCCCAAACCCCGAAATCCAACTTATTCAGCTGATACCTGATCACAATCTCGGTGACAAGCCACAAAGCACAAGTCAATATAGCAGCAGTAAAGAATCCTCCCAGTGATATAATCAGATTTGGAATCCTGATGTACTTTCTGAAGCCCTTATTTTTAGTAGATTTACAAATATCCTCCTCTTTATGATAATTAGCAACACCCCATTGCAAGGAGAAGATAGGGGCAGCTTTACTCCACTGGTATTGGAACACGCTAATCCAAACAACTAGAAACCCGACATAGTACTCTATGGAGGGGTTCAACACGACACTGCTGAATACTCTCCAGAAGTGCGACTTCTCTCCGAGAACATTCTCCAGGTTTAGTTCTGTTGCTAGTCCGTACAAAAGGGATATCAAAGAGAGAATGGCGATTGGGAGGAGTCCAAAAGTCCACCAATAGTTACTCCAAGCGTAGACAAACGCAAGTTCCTCACCAAAATAGTTCCGAAATTCTTTAAGCGGGAAAAAAGGTGGGAACCAGGAAAGTTTCTCTTCAAGTTTCTTTGCCTCAGGAGAGTGCGGCACAAAATCACCAATAATTTTGTAATCCTCCCTTTCTAGTACCTTTCTAGTACCTTCTGGTACCTTCTCAGCTTTGAGTGAGGCATATATAAGCTCTGCCTGTACCCTCACCGTATCCAACAACTTATACAGTTTTTTAGTGTACTTCTCATCGAACTTATCTTTCAGCCTCTTATGGTACATTACAGTGTAGTATACCTTAGTGAAGTTTTTATACGACAGAGTTCCGTAAGAGTAGAGTGACGCAAACTTAGACCTCCAACTCTCTGAATCTTTCTTACTAGGTGGGCACATGAACGGCACGTGGTAAGAGTGAATGTGAGCCAGTTCTAAAGTTTGGTCACATGTTTGGTCACGTTTTAAGTAAAGGCAGAGGAAGATGTGATCGGAGGATTTCTCTGTGAAGGAGGAGATGTGGAGGGTTAAGAGGTGCTTCTTCAGCTCATCTAGCTTCCTGGGGTGATTAATCAATTAATTTAAAGAGATTAATTAACTGTTTTAGAAACAATACATGTAGACTTGCAGTGATATATTAGAAACAAATTGACGCATTAAACAATGAGAGGTTACCAATGGTTACTAAGACTTGAATAGTCATTAATAAATCAGAATATCAACAAAATGTATAAGTTAGTGAAGTAGAGGACTAACTCGTCTTGGATGGAAGGATCTAGAACCAGTATCACAGCAGGCTGAGGGTTAGTTCCCACTCCCTCTCGACTCACATCACTTCCTTCATTTCCTAACATCCCCCTCTCATCGTCTCCACTACTCATCGTCTCTTGCTCAAGTCGAGCTTCATTCAGCTAGAGATGATAAACAGGTTAATATTAAATTAGGTTTGAGAAAGAGACAGAAATGTGTAGGATTAAATGCACAATAATTATTAATTCACTGTTTAATTGATAGTATTGAGACAATACAAGGATACTGTCAATCCGTATGATGCAATAAATAGACTAAACATATAAAACCATTTTGATTATGGTAATAAAACATAAAAATGAGCCCTTATTATATATATTTTCCAGATCTAAGGCACTTCTATTGTTTAAATTTACAACATTAACGTTTAAAAAGAAATCTAAATTATTAAACTAATAGAGACAAAAGCCGAGCAGCGTAAAAACAAACACGTGCTCATTCGATAAAAACTTTGTCTCAAAATTGTCTTGAAAGTAGTACAGTAAATGCTAGCTTACTACAGTAAAAAGTACAAACGTAAAAGAGAATTTAAGATTAATTTATCTGGAGAAAAAAATATAAATATTCTGCTTATCTTAAAGTACGGTATGCAATAACACAAACATTTAAACAATTTTAACTAAGCATTCTCTAAGTCTCCTTCAAATTTCTTCTGACAGAATCTGTTTAACACCTGACATGAGCCTCCCCACAATCAGTATTAATAAGATCCTCCGCAAACAACTCGACCCCCTTGTTATACTGGTTCCTGATATGAAACTGGTACTTATCACCCGACACTGTATCTTGTATCTGTATCAAACTGGTCATCAACATAAACACGGGCATGAACAGCAGCGGCAGTACCTCCCGATCAAACACACATTTACCATCATCGTCCCCCACCAGAGTTTTATTATCACGGTTAACCCAGCAGTCCTGCTCGGTCTCATCAGCCTCGGTAGCCCGGAGGTGGATGGAGTAAGAGTTGATTATTATACTCATAATATTAACCAGGTATATGATACCCTGCCACTGTTTCATGTTCCCCACGCGACGTGGCTGTGGGCGCTGTGACTCGCACAGCAGCATGTAACACTCATATTTACAGACAAGGAGCTCGATGATGAGGGCTAGAAAGGCGACTATAGGCACGTGGTAGCTGAACATGGTCAGGTAACCGTACATTATGATCCTGTCGCTCATCCACATTGATACCTCGCTCGTGTCTAGCAGTTTCACTGATTTGTAGTTCTCGACTATGTACAACAAATCTTCTTTTCCTGGTCTCATCTTACGATTGGCCCGTCTTTGAAACTTACTCAAACACCAAAACAAGAATATCTTGGCCATCCCTTTCAGTCTGAGTGCAACAATTTGAAATAGCAGTTGTCTCGACAGTTCAACAACTTCAAATTGCTTTGGATTTTCCATCTGTTGTCCCGGTTGGAAGTTCCAGTTAGCAAAGACAAAACTATGAATATCCAAAGCCAGGAACAGCAAATATATGTATGACGACATCAAATAGTATCCGGTATACTTGAAGATCACGCTGTTAGTATAGAAAGACTGAAACTTGTGATCCTCTAGATCTGTCAAGAACCTTGAAAACCAGGGGATAAAGTAACTCCCAGCAACCGTGTTCAGGATAGCGTACGTGACCTGACAAATAATATTAACATACATCTCATCTAGCTGGAACCTGTTTAACTCAATCCTCAGAACAATTAAAACCAGTATAAACAGCGCAGCAGTGCAAGCAGCAGCCACTATGAACCCTAAAACTGATATAACCAGGTTGGGAAGTGCTAGTAGAGCCCTGTATCTGTCCTGGTTTGGAGACTTATACGCTGGTTCCTCCATGTAGAAGTTGCTAACGCCCCATTGCAGAGAGAAGATTGGGCCGGCATTCGACCACCGGTACTGGAACACTGCGATCCAGATCATAACAAATCCTATGTAGTAGTTAGTGGAACCGTTTACCATTATACGAGAAAAAAGGCCCCAGCTTGTTTCACTGGCTGAATAATCGTGGAGGGCGAGGCCAAGAATGAGAGAGAATAATGCAAATATGGAAATAGGTACCAGTCCATAAATCCACCAAAAGTTGCTCCAGGCGTAGGTGAAAGCAAGCTCTTCTCCAAAATAATCCCGGAATTCCTTGAGAGGGAAGAGAGGAGGAAACCATGACATCTTCTTATATATTTCCAGAGCTTCAGGAGTATGGGGCACAAAATGTCCTTCAATCTTGATTGTGCTGCAAACATTCAAGTTCTGGAGAATTTGGTAAATCATCTCAGACTGGACCCGGACAGAATACAGCCGATTGAGATGCTGTTGCTCCAGCTTACTTCTCAGTCTTTTGTGGTACATTACTGAGTACTCTATCTCCGTGAAGTTGTTGTAAGATTGTGTCCCGTACGTTAAGACTGAGTAGAGTTTAGTAGTCCAGCTATCAGGTGGGTTCTTACTTTTGTAGGTGCAAAATTGCACGTGATATGAGAGCCGTTCAGCCATTTCCTCGCACATTTCATGGGTTAGATACAGGCACAAAAATACCTGCTCATCTTTAACGCACCGCTCCTCATACGATGAAATAGAAATACTGTCACGGAGTTTATCTTTGAGATATGATCTAAACTGTGTGATGTCATCCTCTGTCACTTTACGGTCTAAGACCAGAACAACCGCTGGTTGGGGTTTATCCACCGTGCCGGCTGCACAGAGGGTGAGAGGTATTTCATCTGGGATATCTGTTATACTCTCAGTAAGAGAGGGCGATCCTTTCATATCAATCAATTGTAGCCATCCTTAAAATATTTGCTAATAGTATTTATAATTGCTTTTTAAAATAAATTCTTAATGTGAGTGTAATATCCAGGTTTTTGAAATTAGATTAGAATACCTTCAAATATGAAACTTTAAAACTAGCTAAATAAGATACAATTTACATACCATAACATAATGGTTCGAATAAATGGGTAAATAACAAATTGCCTCGTATCTCGTAACATTGGACCAACGATTACTGGACACTACCTCGAATCCTCGATACACCTTCCTTACAAGTCACTCTAATATTAATATAGCCAATATAAAATGGAAATGTCCCACAGTGTGTAACGTATCTGCAATGGTGGGGTAATGGCTATTTTTGGCACTTTACGTATAGTAAGAATTCATATTTTATAGTGTGCTTTCATTCTGGAGATCTTGAGCTTCTCGACTGATGATTGGAAACAGTTTAAACTTAATGGCATGCCAGATCCCAGCTCAATTTGTAACGGAGTTTTATATTAACAGGAAATGATGTAACAGAGTCAATATATTTCAATGTTGCCATGTTTCACTGCTTCCTAATACAGGATTATATAATATACAGGATTATGCACTATACTAACTAGAGGTCGTGTTATTAAATATTGAGGGTAAAAACTAATAAGCTCGACAAATACTAATAGTAGTTGTGCTCAAATTACATGCTCTTTTTGGGTAAGGTTGACGAAGCCACACTCCACAGGGTAGGATTATATTACAGTAAAACCCCGATTTACCGCGGAGATTGGGGGAAAGGAAACATCCGCGGTAAATCGGGATTCGTGGTAACTCGGGGTTTTGTTTGTTTACATTATGCATGTTAAGCCCTGTTTGGGGGAAAGGAAATGGCCGCGGTAAATCGGGGTTTGTGGTAAATCGGGGCGCGGTAAATCGGGGTTTTACTGTAGTACTAAACAGTATATTATATGTATTTATCACGCCTAGACATTACTTGATGGACCCCGTGTGCCTAAGTGGACCCCCTTAGTCCTTGTGAACTTCCATAGGCTTCAGTGAACTGACAGTGAGTGAAATAATAGTGGCAAGCCTTTTTAGTGTGAGTAGATAAAAGTACTTATTCGCTTTACTGTGATTGTAAGATTTACACAACTAGATACGAGAGACTGAACGAAAGATTACAAGAATTTACTAAACTGCAAATAAGTTAACACACAACAAGCTTGGAACCCTGTAACTATTATTAAACATCTCTATTCTCACGCTGTGTAGTTACTGGCCAATCTATCCTGTCACGTGACATTCATTAATCCATCCTACAGCCTCTGTGCAGTGTGCATGATATAAACTGAATTATAAAATTAAATTATAAAATATACAATTTACAACTTGTAACTATGGAAATTGTATTACAATAACCGTTGCATGTGTACGTTTTATCAGAAAGTGTAATGAGTGTGTTTACTTTTTAATTCAAGTACAAGTTTAATGGTAGGCACAATAATACATCGTATCAGTTATGAAATTTCTAATTATAGCACGATGTTGCTAAATATAACAGGCGGGTATTGGGCCGAGTGATACACTTAGCTCGGTCAGAATGTATCTGTATTACAATCAGCAATCTGTAGATCATTCTATAGAATTGAATACAGAGTGTGGAACTGTTTAATAGTTCCACCGGCCCGGGCTATGTCGCTACTGGTCGAGTTGTGTGCTTGCATAGGAGCCTTTTTAAACCGGGCTGAGTGCGCCTGCTGTACAAAAAAGCGCACATTGGTGGATAAAATTAGGGAAACCAGCGACACACATCGGGTAACAGATACAGACACGATCTAAGAGGTGTTTTCAAGACTCAAACAAAGTTCAGACAGGAATTTAGAGACATAGTGTAAATTCCAATCATCGAGTAAACTGTTTATCTAATAAAGAAATGATCTGATCTCCCTTAATAGAGTTAATACACCCTGTCCACACATCCTATCCACACATCTGCCACTGTGTAATGTATTGGTTGCATATCTGGGAACAACATTTTGGACAGGCGGATAAAATCAATGTGTAAAACTGATTACGGAAGGGGAGTATTATATACTGAATATCAATATCACCCCACGTGGTTTATTCTGATTTTAAGGCTGTAATAAAGTATAATCATGACACTTTACATTACTCTTGTTGTATGTGCACTAATAGAGTTAGTGATCAATTCAAAGTGGAAAAATGCATCGGACATAATATCACAACTTAATAAACAAACAGAAAGCCAAATATGAAATATCAAAATCTTGACATTTTTTCATAGAACCTGTGTATGGCAACCGTACAGATTACAGAGTTAAA